CTGACTTCCCTCGAAAAGGCAGATCCCCAAGCATGTTCTTTCTGGAATCGGTACTGCTGATGGCTATTCAGACCAAAAGTACCGCAAGCAAAATAACGGCACTGAACCATACCCCGCTCTCTGCCTCCCCATCACTGGTCCTCAGAATCTGGCATCAAACTATTGCCAGTATGTGAATATTCATCCATTTTAAAGATAACTGCTTAACGACGAGGGACCTGCTGGTTGCACAGTGGCTACACATCGGTGCGCAACCCGAAAGGTTACCAGTTTGAAACCACTCCAAGGGAGAAAGCTGAGGTTTTCTACTCCCATAAACAGTAATAGTCTCAGAAACCCACAGGGGGCAGTTCTACTCTGTCCTGCAGGGTCTCCGGGCATTGTACACGGCTCGATGGCAGTGAGTGAGCCCAACGACAGCCTGTTTTCATCAAGTGGCTATGGGTTGGACCCACCTCAATGGCACCAACAATCCCCATCACAATGATAGGGCTTAACCTCTAACTGAAGGTCTCTTGGGCGCAAGTGGTTTGTGGCTCACTACTCACCTGCAGGCAGAGCCTGGAGCCCACCAAGCAGTATCCTGCAGATCGCTGTTGGTAAAGTTTAAGACCCCAACCCCAAGCTTGGGGCCTATTTTGACTCATAGTGACTGTATCAGACCGAACTTGAAGAACTGTCAAGGGTATCCAAATCTGGCTCTTTCTCTTACAGAGAAGCTGATGTGAGTTCAAACCCCCAGCTTTTGGGTTGGCCATCAAGCGCTTAACACGGTGCAACCGGAGCCTCTTCTGTAAAACTTACAACCAAGAAAACCCGACGGAGCAGTTCTAGGCTAACACACGCAGTCCCCGGGTGCATGGCAATGACCTTTTACATTTTTTTTCTTTAATGCTAATCACTAAGGTGATCGTTGTTGAAAAATCTGTTAATAATTTGAACCAAATCAAACACCAAACTCACATGCCATGGAGTCAGTTCTGACCCCTGGTGACCCTACAGGACAGGGTAGAACCGTCCCTGTGAATTCCGGAGACCGCAACCTTGTCGGGGAGTACATCACCTCTTCTTTTTCCCACGGAGCTGATTGGTGGCAATCATTTGAACAGTGGATGAAAAATCAGAAGAATCTTGCATTGTTTCAAGAAGTCCCACACTGGCAACAGGAGAAGAATGTAACTCGTGTTTCCTCTTAGCACGGCCTGTGGCTCAAGGACTGCCTCTCCTCTCTATACAGCCATAACTAAAACCAGGGTGGTCGCCACTTTGATTATAAACCAGAACTGCCATCCACAATAAGGATTCCTCCTGGGGAGGGAAACTCCCTGCATCCCTCCCCACCCCCATCCCCGTTGTGCCATCAGCAAGACCTGGGGAGAAGAACAAAGTCCCCATTTCATGTGTGCAAAAACTCACATTGTTTTGCCTTGTTGCAGTCTGAAATCATGATGCAGCATCTTGAAATTGATGGGCCTTTCTCATCGCCGCAGGCCAGCAGGCAGTCGGGATGTGTTATCGCATGCACAGACTTGGGGGTTATTCCTGGGGGGATGACGCGGCAAGCCTCAGCTCCACACTTGTGCCAACAAATCATAGAAGGGCCGTTTGGAAAAGGAACATGTTGCTTGTTGTCTGAAACCCTTTCATGAACACCTGCAGATAATTTGTAGACTAGGTAAATCAGACAGGTAGAATATTGCTCCCTCGTCTATCAGCTGCAAGACGGGGTATTTAGTCCGGCTTCTCGTGTCATCATCATACATTGGGGTCAATTAGATGGCAGGTGATAACAACAAAACTGGTATTCTTTATTCATGTAATTTTAGGGCACTGTGCAGAACGAGGCAAGGAGATGCTAGTGGCTGATCATGGGCCTGGGGTGCTGAACCCTACGTCTCTTTCATTACTGCTTTCACTTGGAGGTCTGAGCTGCCCAAGGCTGGAGTCTGGAGACACGACCAAACAAAGAATGCAAAAATAAGACGAGGTTGGCCTTTCTTAGGAGCCTTGGGACCAGGGCTGGGACCACACTGGATGGGCTTAGAAACGATGGTGGCATTGTGAGTTATCTATTGGGCAGCTAACTGCAAGGTCAACATCAGCTTCACAGGAAAAGATGAGACTTTCTGCTCCTGGAAAGATTAGCAGCTTGGGAGACCCACAGGGACAGTTTTCCTCTGTCCTATATATAGGGTCCCTGTGCGTCCTAATGGGCTCCCCGGTAGTGAGTTTTTGTTTTTTGCTAGGAAGGAGTTAGAGCAACAAAAGCAGTGTTATTCTGCATGTGTTTGAAGAGCTCTGGAACTTCCTAGCCCAGGGGAGCTACCTCCCAGGATTCCTGCTGGGAGGATTTCATGAGTGTTGGGACATTGAAAACGCACTGCCTGCAGGACATGGTGTCCCAACAGACTGGACTGGAAAACACTCCTAAAGGCCACAACGATCCTTGAACTAACTACAAGCTTTTCTTTCTTGTGTTTTAATTTGTTCTTTGTCAGTGGTTTGTTGTTGTTGCTGTTTTCTTGTACATTGTTGCTTGG